GGCTGACGGAGCAGAGGAAGACATCATTAACCCTCTGAGGGGCTCAGGATAGGTGGCCACTTTGTCATTGCTTTTCTTGTCTACAAGATGAGGTGTTTGAGATTAAATGCTGAAGATCCTTGAATAACAACGTCATTTTGTCCAATGTCATTTCATTACAACGTTGATAAGGAAAAAAACTCACCTATTCCCGGCCAGGGCCACTATCTGTGTGGAATTTGTTCTCCCCATGTCTGCGTGGACTTTCTCTGGGCACCCCAGTTTCCTCGTAAGTCCCAAAGATGTGTACATGAGGTGAATTAGTGTGACTACAGTGTCCTAGTCTGAGTGAGCGTGGGTGTATGTGAGTACAAAAGGGTGTTCTACTCAGTGTGGGTCCTGCCTTGCACCCTGAGCTGCTGGGGTAGGCTCCGGCCACCTGTGATCCTAAACTGGAGTAAGCAGGTTGGAAAATAATGATGTTATTTGGTTTTATTAATCTTTCTTAAATGCATGTGTAGCTCACATTATTTCAATGTTTAATATTCAATGTGTTTTGCATCTTTATTTAGAAGCTTGGTGATGTTTTTGTGACCAGAACTATGCTATAAGAACTTAACTTTTGTTATATCAATTAGCCTGTGGTAAAATTGCTTTTTTTTTTTCTTTTTTTTTTTTTTTTTTTTTTGGCTGAGCCATCCTGCTACCTGTTGGCAGCTCAGCGGCTGCTCAGCTCAGGCTGGACTTGAACCACTGTTGTAAAATTGCTTTTGTTATATGTCACTACATTTAAAGTCACAGTTTTCAAGAACCTATCTATGACATTAATAAATGAAGACTTACTGTATCTCTGTATCTACAATGTTGTTTCCAGCTCTAAAACTCCATGCTTTTCTCTTCCCCTGGGTCTACATACCATACAAAGGGAAGTCTGAGGACACTAGGACCAGTGAGCTGCTCCGCTCTGGTCCTGAGGTGATAGTTTTCTCCTGAGCATTTTCTTTTCTTTTCTTTATTTTTAAGATTTTTTTTTAAATTAAAATTTATTGGGGTGACAATGGTTAGTAAAGTTACATAGGTTTCAAGTGTGCAATTCTGTAATACATCATCTATTTATCACATTGTGTGTTCACCACCCAGAGTCAGTTCTCCTTCCATCACCATGGATGTCTTTTTAAGGTTTTTATTAAAATTATAGCTAACATACAGTATTATATTAGTTTCAGGTGCACACAATAGTTATTCAACATTTATATACCTAAAGACGTGATCACCATGATAAGTCCAGCAACCATCTGACACTGTAAGATGCTATCATGATATTATTGACTATATTCCTCATGCTGTACATTATATCCCAATGACTTACTTGTTTTATACCTGGAAATTTGAACCTCTTATTCCCCTTCACCATTTTCCCCTTTTGTTAATTTTACAATTACAGATGAAATTCAATATTATTTTGTATTAATTTCAGGTGTACAGCATAGTAGTTAGACATTTGTATAATTTAAGAAGTGATCCCCCTGACTAGTCTAATACCCACTTGGTACTATACATAATTATTACCATGTTATTAACTATATTCCTTATGCTTTACTTTATATCCCCATGACTGTTTTGTAACTACCAATTTGTACTTTTTTGTGTGTGTGTGAGTGGTATTTGGTTTTTTTTTAAAAGATTTTATTGGGGAATTGGGGGAGGGGAACAGCTTTGGGGAATTGGGGAAGGGTTTCTATGTCCTTGTTTATGCTTGCTATCTCTTTGTTTAAGTTCTCACTAAGTTCCTCAAGTATCTTTATAAGCATTGTTTTAAGCTCTGTACCTGGTAGGTTGCTTGCCTCCATTTCATTTAGTTCTTTTTCTGGAATTTCCTTCTTTTCTTTCATTTAGGATGTATTTTTTTGCTTCCTCATTTTGGCTGCCTCTCTGTGTTTGTTTCTATGTATTAGGTATATCTGCTATGTCTCCCAGTCTTGGTCGGGTGACCTTATGTAGTAGATGCCCTGTGTGGCTCTGGTACAGTCTCCCTGGTCACCTGCACTGGGTGCTGTAGGAGTATCCCGTGTGTGGGTTGCATGTGCCCTCTTGTTATAATTGAGCCTTGATTGCTACTGGCAAGTCAGTGGGTGGGACTGACCCTCAGGCTGACTGGTTGTGGGGTTTGGTCACATCCACAGCTTAGAGGTTGCTGTGTGGGAGGCTTACCCCACTCAGTGGGGTTCACCCCAGCAGGCTCTGGTGCCTGTTGAGACTGCCCTTTGTGTGTGCCACTTCTGCAGCTAATTGGGCAGTGCTCTGCTGTGGTCTGAAGCCAACCCCCAAGCATGTTGGCTCTGGGGCTTCTTGGGAGGGGCTCCAGTGCAGGCTCAGGTCACCCACTGCCTATGATCAACTGGGAACTACCTGGTAGGAACTACAAAGCGAACCATTGTTGTTCACGGCCTGTGATAAAGTTGGAGGCATGTGGGCCACTCTGTGAACCGAGGACAGCTGCCACAAGTACTGGCCCTGGGGTAGCTCTACTAAAAGCCCTGACACCCTGAGGCCTCCTGCCACCTGTTGGCTCCCTTAAAGCCCAGCCACTAATAACTCATGTGTTACGCGAGTTGGGTGAGGCAGGGTCTCAGAGAGTTACCAGAGTGGCAAGAGTTAATGTAGACTCTGGTTTGGTGTCAGTGCTGGACCTGGAGCTGCTCAGCAAGTCTCAGAGCACATCGAGGCCAGTGGCTGCCCGCTTTCAGCCTGTGGAGTGCAATGTGGGTGGGGCTGGCTGCTCAGGAGAAAGTGCCTCCAGTGTTGTGGGTGTTAGGTTGGGCAGGGTCCCAGTAAAGCTCACCAGGCCAATCAGATTCAGATTTGCACTGTGGAGGTGGACTTAACCCAGGAAACATGGTTGCCGCCTGCCGTCTGCACAAAAGCTGAACCCCATACAGGGAAAATGGAGGCTGTCCTCCAGGCCTCGCATCGAAGTCACACACCTCAGCCTGCCCCTGTATGCCTCCAACACTCCCTGCCCCATACCTTTGCCGGGGATCAGGGTGAGTGCCTGGGAGTGAGGGAGTCTGTGCACTAGCTGTTTAAGAGGATGTCTGGGTTTTCCTCAGCCTTTCATCTACCCAGATGGTCAGAATCCCCACTGTTTTTCACAGCCAGGTGTTGTGGGAGCTTCTCTTCCCAGTACTCTGGGTTGGGAAGCCTGGTTTTGGGCTAGAGTACCCTGCTTCTCTGGGGAAACTCTCCATGGCTGAGATATCCATCCTGGTTCTCAACCTCCACACAGAGGTTTGGGGCCTGCCCATTTCATGTCTCCACCCCTCCTACTAGTTTTGACATGGCTTTTTCTTTATATCTTTCATTGTAAAACTTCTGTTCAGCCAAACTTCAGATGGTTCTCCCATTTGATTGTTTTGTAATTTAGGTGTAATTTTAGTGTGTTCATGGAAGGAAGCACCCACAGTGTTTATCTATTCCAACATCCTAGATCTCACCTATCGTGAGCATTTTTACCCTTCAGCTGTTGTCAATAACTTTGCCACAACAAAGATGGCAAATTCTATTGAGACTCTTCTCTCAATCAAAGCTACGACTCCACAGCTGTGCTGCTTTTTTGTTTTTTGTGTAAAGTTCTTTTTCCTGGTTCCTATTTGGTGCCAAACCAAATATTATTACATTTGCATTGCCTCAGAAGTCAACCCATCTCAGAGTTTCTCAAACGAGTTCAGATAGGAGAACATCTAGGAAATTCTCTTTTTTTGCTGACCTTGATATATTGAGATTTTAACATACAAATATAATAAAAACATACAAAATTTGGGGTTAAACCTAGATACCTTATATCTAGATTCCAGTAGAGACAAACAGTAGTAGATGCTGAATTTTAAAGAAAAATTTGCAGAAGAAAAATGTTAAATTGGGAAAAATTGATCTTATTGAACTTGATCTTATTTTCTGCAAACTGAGAAACACTGGCTCATTGACTGCTTTTCAGAGCATGGGGTGGAAGAAGGTTGGCACAGTGTAGTCAGGAGCATGGGCTCTGGACCTATTGCTTGTAAGACCTTGGGTGGATTATTTAACCTCTCTGTGCTTCAGTTTCCTCAACTATAAAATGGGAATAATGATGACAGCACCTAACTTCCATGGTTATTGAAAAGCCAAAATAAGGCTGGTATGAACAAAACTCTTTAGCTGAGCCAGGTACCCAACAAGCATTTGGCCAATGTTAGCTGTTGTTCATTGTGGAAAGCCATAGTAAGGCACACTTAGGAAAGGGTTAGCTCAGGCAGGGAGAGAAACAAATATTAAAGCATTTTGAGAAAATGGAAGGATTCAAAAAAAGGAAAAGCAACAGATATGAGCAACACAAAACCATTAGAGAAACTATATGTGTTTATTGAACTTGGAGTCCTGGTAACTCGAACCTTTGCAAAAATCATTAATCTCTACTTACATAGGGCTTCATCTGGTGGGTAGAGCCTGGGGTTATTGACTGTTCAGACCAGGGTACAAAGGTCATCAGAGCACTCAGAGTTTTGAACAAAAGGCTATTTCAGTTGTTCTTTAAAGTTATCTGTCTCTAGAAACTCTGGGGCTGGGTCAGGAACCTCAGGGGCATGCAAACTAAGAATTTTTCCAAGAGTAATCATTCAAATTTGAGGGAAAAGTTTAAAGATTTTTTTTATCTTGTTATGTTTTAAGTAACTTTTCAAGAGTAAGGACCAATAAAAAAAAAGAGTTGGACATAGCCAGAATCACAGTGCTCTTACCGGCACCCTTGCCCGTGTCTCACCTGTCCTTCCAAGGTAAGTCAGCACTTTCCAGAGCCTGTTGACCCCTTAGAGAGAGGGATTCCCCAGTACACTCTGTGTTTGGGGTTATTACTTTGAGCATGTTCAAATTTTTCTCAGATGTCACTGAACTGTGCTCAGGTTGGCCTACAGGGCATTGACCCATAAGTAAATAGATAACGTTCTCGAAAAAACTTGAATTCTGTTCAGTGCTTTATAATGATGAAAACCAAAGTTGGAAGAGGTTGTAAAAACCCTTTGACTCTCTATAGTGGAGTTCATTGCTTCTTCTGGCTTCCTGAAGTTCACTTTCACAGGTAAGTGACTTATACTGTCTACAGCATTTGAAGACTATGTTCTACAAGGTCGTCATCTCTAAGGTTTCTGTTGCGGGACATTGTGTTTCTAGTTTACTATACGGTGGCCTCTTGTCATGCGATAAATAAAGTGACAATGATTGGATAGGAACTTGCAGAATACATGAATGGTTTCATAATATTATACAATACAGATGACTCTTAGTTGCTGTCTCATTTATAGCAAAGTTATATTATGCATCAATTCTTTTGAGACTCTGTGGTGTATGGGATATGTGGTACATATGGGTGAGTAGATTGAATAATCTGCCAAAAGTAAAAATGCCAGAGAACTTTCTTAACTTGGTATTATGAAAGCATAATTCTATTTGCATTGATAACAAAAAATCCTTCCCTGGAAAGTCAGTGCTGGTTTAATATGGAATATCAACTTACCTTTTCTCCAATGCCATGTTTCTTTCCTTATTCTTCCAGTTTTCAATAATTTAGATACTAAAAAATATGAGCTCTGGATGACTGGCTAGAGGGGAGAAAAGTTGGTTTCTAGACTCTAATCTCAGTTTTTAGGTTTCTCTCACCAGTAGAAATTACATGTTGCTGATGATTTGAACACACAGATCAGGATATTCACATTTAAGACTGGGAATAAAATGCAGTGTTTCTAAATGTTCTGAAGAAGGAGTAGCTCTCTAGACATGTTAGAGACAAATTATAAGGATCATACCTAAAACTCTCAATATTGGGATCTAATAGTAGTTATTATTAAACTTTTAAAGTATTGACTTATTTACAGGCTCTTGTTTAATAAAAGTTCTACCTGTATATACCCACCCCCCACCCTGTCACCACACCCCTCCTTTCCACTGTAGTCTCAGTTACCCTTATGCTCTGCTCTGCAACACTCTGTAATTATCTGTTTGAAGCCTCCATTTTCCTGCTTAGGAGCAGCTGTTTATCCACCCCTCACCCCATTTGATTGTAAACCCATTGAATAACTTGTGTGTCCCACCACTAAGAGTAATGGCAACAAATATTTGCTGTTGAATCCTGGAATTGGATTAGAAAGTAATTTAGGAAAAATTTTGCCAACTGTGTGGTTTTAAGAGACACTGAAATTGCTAAAAAAAATGCCCAAGTTCCATCTCAGGAATTAAGTGTTGAAGTTATGTGTCGCTTTGTGAAGATGAAAGAACTATGTATGCATGGAGAGACAAAGGAGAGCTGGGAGGAACTTTGACTTTCAATTCTACTTTCTTCAAGAGCAATTTCCTAGTCTTCCATCTCAATCGTGACTCTGTGAAGAAAGGATATTTGTGTGGTCCATGAGGATCCCTCTGATTTCTTTCCCTTCAGGGCTAAAAGGGCTCCATGTTTGTCCTATTCCTTGGCAATGGCTCCTACATTGTTGACACACATCAGCCCCAAACCTGCAAGATAATGTTTTTCTAGCTTCCTAGTATAAGCTAATATTTCTTTCCTCCTCTGTCCTTGGGAAAAAGAAATCATTTGCTGGGTTTGATGGCAACAAAGGGGCCCTACCTACATCCCTAAATGTCAGCCATGAAAGACATTTTTTAAGGACTTTTTAGAAAAATCAGAATTTGTGGCTTGGAAAGTGGCTTTCAAATTCAAGAAGAGCAGTTCTGCTTTTCTCTCAGAGCAGTTCTGCTTCTCTCTCGGAGCAGCTCCGAGGAAAGGGAAGTTGTGGTGCTGGCAGCCTTGAAAGGTTTTTACAGAGGGGACAAATTCACAAGAGAAAAGCCAAGGAGAATATTCACCATGTGATGTGGGGTCAAGGGAAGGCCGCTCCACTCCTGAGCCTGGCCCTGTGCCCCTCGCTGTCCCTTTAGCTCCTCAGTGGCTGTCAGAGCATTTAGACCCTCAGTACCATCTTAGCCTGGGTGGGGAAAAGCCTCAGCCTCTTCTTCCTGAATTCAGTCTATGCAAGACCAACATCTTTTAAAAATAGTATTTGGGAGAAAATGAAATAGAAAAGCAGAACAAATGTCCCCAGAAAAACTTCAAAACTTCAAACACTGACAGAGTCAAGAAACCATTTCCTAAAGTGACAACTTGGGAATAAAATGAACTATATATGTTCCTGGCCTTGGTAAATGAGGATGAGCAGCTGCTTTACCTTGGAGGGATTTCCGTTCTTCTTAATATGACTTCTTAGTCTCTCTTTCTGGGTGTGGGCGCCCAAGTCTCAAGCCTTATCAGTGTTTGGGTTTAAAAAAATATATGTGTGATCATATCCTTCTTTTGACTGAAAGCCTTTAGCAGTTCCCACTGAACCTTGGGATAAGGTTCCAAGTCCTCAATGTTAAGGATTCCCAGGCCTCAAGGAATCAACCAGCCACATCCTTCAGGGCTGCCACACCCACTTATCCACAGGCTCACTGGACCGCCTTCAGTCCTTAAACCTACTGGACTCTCTCTTAGGTCTGAGTCTTTGCACATGCTCTTTCCTGCCTGGAACGCTCTTCACTCTCTTCTTCTCTTGGTTAACTTCCCATCATCTTCAAGGTCTCATCCTAAATGCACTGGTTCCAGAGCCTTCCCTCACTCTCCAGACAAAGGCAGGGCCTCTGCTTGAGGGTCTAGGAGATGCCCATGCTTCCCCTTTGTTCAGCCACTATGTTTGTAATATCTTACACGTCACCTGTCTCCCCTGCCATACAATAAGCTCCACAAAAATGGGGCTGGTTGGAGGCCTGGAGCATCACACAATTTTTCAGTTGGGTAAATCAGGTCCTTGAAGATTTCTTCCTGGGCTTTAGGCTGTCCTGAACTGACCTCATGATAAACGAGTCAGCAAACATTTCCTGTAAAGGGCTAGAAAGTACATGGTTTTAGGCATGGAGGTAGGGGGGTGTAGTCTGTCACAGCTACTCAAGTTTGCCATTGTAGCCCAAAACAAAATAAAAACAAATGGGCACAACTGGGTTCCAATAAAACTTTATTTATAAAAACAGGTGGTGGACTGAATGCCCCTATTGTAGTCATGTCCTTTAGATTAGAAAGATTCCAGCTCCGGGAATAGACATTCTCACCCCTGACCTGTTTCTTTTCTTTTTCCCTCTTCTTCCTCCTCTGCTTCTTCCTCCCTCTCCCCACTCTTCTTCAGCTTCTTTTCAGTTTTCCTGCAGTATCGATAGCCAGTTGCTAGTGTCACTCCCAGTCTTTGGTGAAGGTTCGCTCGCTAATTTGTTGCTCCAGGCACACTAGCAGCCTTGGTGTAATGGCCCATGGTGGGCACTGACATTTTGTACTCTTAGGATTTTTTATTTGTTCCTGGCATGGCTTATAGAACCCTGTATCTCCTCCAGTTTGGGCAGCCTCATATCCCTGTGGCACTGTTCACTCAGCCCTCTCTCTGAGGTCTTTCAAGGTCCCAGGTTCTTTCAGGTGACAACCCCATGCTGCTCTCATCCCCCTCTCTCTACCCCCAGCAGTGGCCTTACAGAGTGTTGTTGCTAATGTTCTAAGGTAGAAAAAATATATATATTTTTTAAGATTTTATTGAGGAATTGGGGGAGGGGAACAGCGCTGAGGAATCGGGGGAAGGGGAACAGACAAATTGTTGTTTTTGTTCTTCAGTCTAGTTGTGGAGGACGTTGCTTCACTGGCCTAAGTTGGCACCATTATTGCGCTCTTCCTAGGCGAGGCAGATCAGTCACCTGCTTCTGGACGGTCGCTCACAGCGGCTGTTGGTCGCTCACGCTGGCTGCAGGCTACACAGGGTAGCCCATGGCAACCCACTGCCACAGGGGCTGCAGCCTACGCCATCGCTGGCAACTCATGGCAGCCCAGTTCCAGGTTGAGCTGTTGTTCAGCATCTTAGCTGTAGAGGGCAGTGTCACTGGCCCTCATATGTGGGATCCAAACCGGGGCCCTCTGGCGTGCCAAGCCAGTTCTTAACCAACGCGCCACTCGGCCGGCCCCAGAAAAATCTTTGATATGTCTACCAATAAAGGTAAGAAGACTGTTCTTTAATATGGGTTTCTGTGTTGATAAGACTACACATTATTAAAGAAAAGAAAACTTCAACCCTGAATAAACAGAGGCACATGTAGAAGACAGGTTATAGAGTATATGCCACTCAGTAAAGAGGGACACTGATGTTGGCATGGGCAATTAAGAATTCATGGGAGATTCTATGGTTAGGTGTCCAAAGTCTGCCAACCAGTGCTTAGAAATCTTGATTTTCTACTATGAATGCCTAGATACTCAAGTTTATTGAAAAGACAAGTTTTTCTGAAAGACCCTGAAAAATTAGTTCCCAAAGAGACATTTTTGGAGATTAAAATAATTTACTATATAAAAATGCAGAGTAAAAAGAAAATAGCATGGTGCCTTATTTTTAACTCTGAGTTTTGTGTTGGTTAAAGTAAAATTTTGTTATTGTAAATTGTTAAGAAACCTTAATTAAAGCTTCCTGCATTGTATGACACCCAAACACCTTTCACATGCTTCAGGAAGCTCAAGAACAATTTGTTAGGTTAGGTGCGGAGAGAGTAGAATTTGATGGCATTACATGTGCTTGTATTGATGGGGAAAAACAATGTAATGAAATATCATAGCACTCTTAAATCATAGAGTATACCAAGTGAGGAGGAGACACTCATAACCCTGTAAAACAAATCTTTTTATCACTGGAAACCAGATTCTCACTGTATTTCCAGGGTTTCAGAGATTTGTAGAAATGGTTTCCGGCATCTACTATATGACATTCCTGGGATCTTGTTTAATAAAAAGGGAATTAACTAGTGGGAGAAAACTAATGATATATCAGAGTTTCATTCAGCACTTATAACTATAAGAGTCAATTCATCAAACACCACTTTTGGAAACATTGCCTTTTCTGGAAAATACCATAAGCAAGGCCTTTGTTTTATTCTTTCTGGCAATTTTGGTATCTCATTGAACTTTCCCAAACTTAGTGTTATAAAATTGCCACTGTCTTTGTGGATGCATCAAGTAATTAACATTTTTAACACAATGGGCTTCAAAAGACATCACTGCCATTTCTGAACTGGCCAGAGATAAGGCAACTAGCTTCCATTCCTAACTAAGAAACAGTCAGGTACTACACAATGCATGCCCTATAGCACTGGAGAGCATACATCTTTCAAAGTAGAGCTCCTTGGTATATCAACAGGGAACAGTAGACGACCAAAGTTCAGAGTGATGCACTGAATGCTGAGAAAACAAACAAACAAACAAACAAAAGAACAGTCCCAGATATTCAGTATCTGGCCTGGTATTCATGCCTACACCATGTTATGCTCTTTTTAGAAATAAGCAATCTCACAGAATACTATTTAGTCATGGTTTTCCAGAGAAATAGAACCAATAGGATATACATAGATATATAGAAACAAATTTATGATGAAGGATTGATTTGTGTGATTATGGAGGCTGAGAAATACCACAATCTGAAAGCTAGAATCCCAGGGAAGCTGGTGAACGAAAGGCCTGGGAACCAGGGGAGCCAATGGTGTAAATACCAATCTGAGTCTGAGAGCCTGAGAACCAGGAGCTCCGAAGTCCGAGGGCAGGAAAAGTTGGATGTCCCAGCTAAAGCCAAAGAGCAAATACACCCTTCCTCAGCTTTAAAAAACAATAATTGATCAATTTTTTATTGATGTATAATTGACATATAATATTGTGTATAACATATTGATTTGATACACTTATATATTGCAATATGATTACCACCATAGCTTTAGCTAACACCTCTATCAAGTCACATAATTATCATTTCTTTTTTGTGCTGAGAACATTTAAGATCTAGACTCAGAAAATTTGAAGTATACAACACAGTGTTGTGAACTATAATCACTATGCTGGGCAATAGATCTCTAGAACTTATTCATCTTCTAGTTGCAGGTTTGTACCCTGTAACAGCATCTCTCCAACCCTTCCACCCACCAGCTTCTGGTAACCCCTTTCTGCTCTCTGTTTCTACGTGTTCACCTTTTGTAGATTCTACATACAAATGATATCATACAATATTTGTCTTTCTTTGTCTGGCTTATCTCACTAAGCATAATGCCCTCACGTTTCATCCATGCTAGCATGAATGGCAGGATTTTTTTCTTTCTCATGGATGAACAGCATTCCATTGTGTATGTGTGTGTGTGTGTACAGTAAAACCTTGGATTGCGAGTAATGTGGTTTGCGAGTGTTCCGCAAGACGAGCAAACATTTCTAATACATTTTAACATAGTAAACAAGTGAATTCTTGCAATACGAGTAGTTTGTTTCCGGAATCAATTATGCTCACAAACCAGGTATTACTGCACATATATATGTATATGTATGTATATACATATATATATGTGTGTGTGTGTGTGTGTATATATATATATATATATATATATATATATATATAAATAAAACATCTTCTTTATACATTCATCTGTTGACAAACACTTAGGTAGCTTCCATATCTTGACTATTATGAGTAATGCTGCAATAAACATGGGAGTGCAGATATATTTTTGATATCCTGTTTTTATTTCCTTTGGATATACACATAGAAGAGAGATTCCTGCATCAGGCGGTAGTTGAATTTTTAATTTTTGTTTTCCATAGTGGTGGTACTGATTTACCCCACCAACAGTGCATGAGAGTCCCCTTTGTCCACATCCTAGCCAACCCTTGTTATCGCTTGTCTTCTTGATGATAGCCATTCTAACAGGTGGGAGATGATGTCTCATTGTGGTTTTGATTTGCATTTTCTTGGTGATGAATGTTGAGCATCTTTTCATATACCTGTTGGCCATTTGGATATCTTCTTTGTAAATATGTCTATTCAGTTCTTCCACCCCCAGTTACCCTGCCTTTTTGTTCTATTCAGGCCCTCACAGGATTGAATGAATGATGCCCATCTACATTGGTAAGGGAAGTCTTCTACTGATTCAAATGACAATCTCTTCTGGAAACACCCTCACAGACACACCCAGAAATAATGTTTTACCAGCTACATGGGCATCCCTTACCCCACTCAAATTCACACATAAAATTAAACATCTCACCAACCTCAGACAAGGTCACTCTGAGACCAGGATAAAATGAGAAAAAGCAAGACCAGTTTATAATTTTGTCCAAGCACAGGACAAAACACGGTCACTGTGCAACCTACAAAATACCAAACATCCCTCTCTCTTGTTGAATGAGTGACTGCTATTTCTTTACCCAGTCATAAAATTGCTCTGGCTTTTGGACAGCATCGAATTTGGAGCAAGACTTCACCTCCTTGGACCCTTTCTCAAATCACCTAACTAAATCCCAAGTCCTACAATAGGGTTCTTCTTAACGCCCTCTTATTGAGACACCCATGGTCCTCCACAGTGTGTTCTCTTTTGCTGCAATGAGTAATAAATCCAGATTGTTCATCTACAAGTGTATTCCTGGTGGTCTTTAGTTGAAGGACATGACATTGCTATGGGGATAGAAATCCATGCTAAGTATGAATTTTTGTCTTTGAGAACATTACTTTTGAATAGCAAAATAGAGATTACAAAAAGCATTCCATTCAGAAAGAAGGAAAATGTAAGCAAACCCAATGTGAATCCTAATGTACAGAATTGCTGAGGGGACAGAGAGGGAAACTGAAGTGAGTAGGTTTGTTGGTCAGCATTCTGCTCCTTAACAGAGCAGGCATTACTACAAATGACCCTAAAAGGAAGAGGTAGGAGTTTGGATGGGGTTCTGGGTCTCTAAGCTTGAAGGGCAAAGGGAACATTAGCTACAATCACCATTTGTGCCAGCTAATATACAGAAACAGTTTTATTTTATAATATTTTCACACGAGACTTGCATGGTGGAATTTACCACCATTACCACCAGTCTCTGACTTGAAAGGTGGAGAAATTAGGTCCTGGAAAGAAGTTTCAAAACATATCTGGTAACATAGAGTGAAGCCATAAGACCTGTGAGACTCTGAAGTTCACAGGAAGGACACTATACCAGTGGCTGCTAAATACTGCCAAATATTTACACACCAGTAGAAAGAAACCTTTTTAAATGAAAAGCTAAACCAGGAAAAATATAATTGAAGACTGAATTTTTTTAATGTCTTATTTTAAAATTAGGAGATGCAATATTTAACGATTATTAAAGTTGTTTTATTAGTTTCTCATTATCAAAGAGTATCTTTGCTTTAAAAAAAATTCTTTTTTTTTTTTTGTTAAAATGTCAAAATCAATAGAACCAGCAAACATGGCAGTCTCTGAATGTAATACTGCTATACTGAACAAATTTTGTTGTTGAATAAAATAATTTTGAATCTGGTTCATTTAATTTTTTATTTGTACTGACCTCAAAAACTACTCAATTAAATCACGTTTCTCACTCTGCTTCTTAATATTGAATTTATGTTTTAAAATTTAATTTTTTAAAAAACATGTTGGTAGATACTATCATGCTTATAGTACCTTTATTACAATGTAATGAGAAGGGTACTTTACCTCTGTGGCCTTCCTCCCCAAAATACACAATCTCTGTTTAATCATGAGAAAAATATTACATAAATCCCATTTTAAGGGACATTCCATAAAATAACTGTTCAAAACAGTTAAAATAAACAAAATAACTCCTCAAAATAGTTAAGGTGATCAAAAACAAGCAAAATATGAGAAACTGCCATGGGCAAGAGGACCTTGAGGAAATATGACACCTTAATGTAATGTTTCTTCTACATCTTCAGAACACTTTGTACTATTGGATATTCAATCTTTACCAGTATTTCAATTAATGGTTTTAGTACTCGTTGCTGATCATTTCCCAAAATTTATTCATTGGGGTTGCAAAATACTAATTCTTCTAATTTTATGGGATTTTAAGATTCAGGAATAGATACTGGTTTTTATTGAATACTTTTTCTGCATTTATCAAAATGATCACTTTTTTTTTTCATTGAGCTATCACTGCATCCCTGGGATCAACAGTGTTCATTATATGCTTTCATAAACTGCTGAATTATACTTAACATATCTCATTTAGTGTTTTTAACTCTATTTTGAATGTAGCTTTAATTTTTTTTTATAACGTTCTTGTTCATGTTGATGTCAAGGCTATACTTGTTTTATAAAATAAGTTGAATAACAGTTCTTCTGGTCCACACTGGACTTACTGCATCCTGGATCTAGGGGCTTCATTTACAAAAGAGCATTGAAGGCTGCCCACCAGTGTTTGAGTGTCACTGGTTAGCTACACTGACCCAAGAATGTCTCCAGTTGGCTGTGCTCTTCTAGAAGTTTTTTATTTTTACTGTAAAAAAGAAAGAAGGAAAGAGAGAAAGAGAGAGAGGAAGAAAAAGAGAGAGGAAGGAAAGAAAGAAGGAAGGAAGGAAGGAAGGAAGGAAGGAAGGAAGGAAGGAAGGAAAGAAGGGGCAGGAAGAAAGGAAGGGAAGAAGGGAGAAAGAAAAGAAAAAAGAAAGAATAAAGAAAGAAAGGAAGGAAGAAAGAAAAGAAAGAAAAAGAATGAACAGATAAGCAGAAAGAACAAATAAATAAAAAGCAACTATCCATTCATTAGCCAGAGAAAAACCATAATCAATGGTTTGGGTTTATCTTTCTTAATCATTAGACTCTTTCATAGAGTTATTAACCACTTAAAAAATTTGCTTTTGTCTGAGATTGTTAGTGAAGGCTATTTCTTGAACCAAGTTTTTTCTTCATTTGGCTAATTTGATTAAAGAAGAGAAATGAGATAATTGTAATGAGTCTTTTATTTTATTTTATAGGGTTACTGGCTGCAGATTGCAATTACCATGTCTGATTCAGTAATTCTTCGCAGTGTAAAGAAATTTGGAGAGGAGAATCGTGGTTTTGAGTCAGATGGATCATGTATGTGGCTTTTTTCTCTCACTGTCTCTTGTACAAAGAAAGGTTAGAACAAAAGTGGAACAAGCTAGTGAATTTTAAGGGGGAGAGAAAATTATCAACTATATTTAGAACTGTTACTGGATGTGTTCCGTACACATGAATGGGTGGTTCTTCCTAGAATCCATGTGATGGAATGTCTGAAAATGCTAAGGTAAAAATGCACGAAGTATGGATGAGTGAAAGTATCTCACGTATAAATATCTTTTTTTTCTAAGCAGAGTAGGGTTGTTCCAACATTGGCTATTATTATTACCTTTACTCATATATTGTTATAATTAATTGTAGTAGTAATTATTTAGGAAGTGTTCCCTGAGAGGAACTGTATCAAGGCTGTGCTGGTCAGAATGAGAAAATGTGAAAGGGGGCCCATAGCACTAGTACTAGTAGTGAACACAGGAGGTTCTAAGCAATTATTATTTTTTTAAACAAATCCTATGATTTTACATTTTACAGAAGAAGAAACTGAGACTTGGATAAATTTTTTAAAGCATGGCAAAGATCACATGACTTATAATAAATGGAGCCATAATCCCAATCCAGTTTTGTCTGATTACAAAACTGAAGATGTTAATCTCTACCTATACTATGTCTCTTTATTGATTTATTAATTAAATTAAATTGAAATGCCAGGGGAATCAGAATCAGAGAGAGAGAGAGAGAGAGAGAGAGAGAGAGAGAGAGAGAGAATAAAAGAAAGGAAAAAAAGCAAATAATCATTTTACAATGTTCCATAAATAAAAGTAATTCATAGGAATTTTTTCCAAAGTAAAATTGTTAATGACTCTTGCATTTTGTCATTATTAACTGCTTTATGCATTGTTTTTATCCTGACAGATAACAATGATAAAAATTCACGGTAAGTGATTATTTTAACAGTACATCTTTTCTAGTCTAACTATAATATTCCTATGAATGTACAAAAAATGATAATATTTTTATGCACATTGCACTTCTGTAAAATGGTATAGATAATCAATTCTTTTTCTCTTTAAAACATTGCTGTAATTTGATTTAAAAAACTTTTTGGAACATCTTTTCAGGACTAGGTCCAAATCTCCCCTGTATATCTAGAAAAACCACAGAATTTTCTACCTAAATGGGCAGGGGAAAAGTTGGACACATGATTTCATGGGCACAAAGGAAGTCCCCAAAACCAAAATGCTTCCCACAGGCAAATAGTAGAAACCTAAAGTTTAATTATTAAATATTTCTTTTTAGTTTAAGAGTTTAAATTCACATATACAATAAATGTCATTTAATCATACTTTGGCATCAGGGTAGGATTAGATGGAGTCTAATTTAGATGACAGAAGAGAGGCACCAGGCAAGTTTCTGAAACAGGTGGTGGAAAGGAAGTGGTTGAAGGTATTTAAGAAATTTTAAGTAATTCATGGCAGAGGGAAGTGTTGGGTGTGGTAACATTAGTTTTGGACTAGGAGTGGTAGGATGACCTTGGGCCTAGAAGAGCCACACCAGGTGGGAAAGAGAGGAAAATGGGTGTGGAAGTAGATAAATGGCAGTGAGAAGATGAGCAGGGGGTTGGTGGTGAGTTCTTTGGCTTTTAGAGGACATGAATCTATCTTTTAATAGATAATCGATATGGTAATTAGAATGAGACAATCAGAGCAGGAGTTTGATAAAGATCAGAGCAGGAGATTGGTAATGGGACCAATCTCTAGAGGAGTGAAGTACAATGTTGTGGATTGAGCTAAGGCTGAAGATCATATTCCTTCATTCATTCATTTCACAATATTGATTGAATGCCTACTTAAGTTGTCAGGCACTAAAATTAGGTGCTGAGGACACAGAAAAGAAGAAAGTAGGCAAAAGCTATGCCTTTGAGCAGCTTACATTTAACTGAAGGGGACATAATAAACACCATAAATAAATAATATAGTATGGTAGCTAGTGATAATCTATCACTTTCTTTCTACAAATAAAAAAGGAAACACGGAATGGAGATATGAAATAATGTGGTGGGAAAGTTGAAATTTTAGACTTTGGCCAGGGAAGAACCCATTGAGAAGGTGACTTTTGAAGGAAGATCTGAAGGAAGTAAGGAAATTGGCCAAGCAGATATCTGAAGAAAGAGCGTACTGGTGATAGGAAATAGCAAGTTCGATTGCCCAGAGGTGGGAACAAATTTGGTATGAACAAAGGTCATCAAAGAGGCCAGGTGGCTCAGAGGGTGAGAACTGGAGGTTAGTAGGAAGAGACCAGGTCAGAGAGCCAAATGGCCAGACCATGGTGGGCCTTGGACGTCTTGTCAAGGACTTTGGATTCTATTGTGAGCTGGAACGGAAGCTTAGGGCAACCGAGTGCTAAGCATGGCATATGTTGGCATCAATTCACATGGTGGAGAGGTTATTTCCAGTAAGACCAGAACCTAGCTTCAGGAGGAGAGGGCAAACAGCTGGACAGATGCAAAGATGAGTTTCCAAGGAAGGATTTGAGGAAAAGGGCTGAGGGTGGTGGTGAGAGTGTGGTTCACCTGGAATGAATGGGGAAGGAAGCAAAGCCTAGCAATCATAACTAAATGGAGGGTATAAGGGACTGCAGGTGTCCACCGAAGTGACAAATAGGTGTGGAAGGAGGAAGGAAGTGAGAAAAAAGATGCCTAGGCAGTCCCAGCATGCCATGGAGTAGAGTAGTAGCTCCTGGTGAAAATAAGGTCAGGGTGTATCCAGGAACAAATGACTCAGGTGAAGCAGAGATCCCTGGGGTTGAGAAGGCAAAGACAGGTTAAGTATAGCTTTATGAGAAATGAAATGAATAAGAAATACTAAGGGACTATGATTCTATTGGGAAGCATGGGAGGTTTTTTGGTTTTTTTTTTGCAAGTTTTCATCATATCAACACTGATTAATACAGTTATAAACCTTTTTAAGTGATAGAAAGAAGCTTTAAATCAGCCAATCCAATCACCTCAACTTGCCCACAAAGAAATGTAGGTAGAAATAGGTCAAGGGTCAAGGCTGAGCTCCAATAGTTATCTATTAGTAAACTGGGAGTGCAGAGTACTTTTTATTTTCTCTCAGTACCTCTCAGATGAACCTCAATGAACCTACTGAACGTGAGATATAGCTACACTGAAATCTCTAGAAGAGGTAAACCTGAAGAATAAAAGCTTGTTTTTAAGATACCAGATTTGGCAAGAATTTCTCAGCCAGTGGTTTTTTTGTTTTTTCTTTCTAAGGAATGACTCATAAAATCACCACCAAGAGAGAAGAGAGAATTTCTTATTGTTTGGAAAGGATGGTCTGTAAATCCCTATTTTTTTCCCCTCAGGTTACAAAATGAGAAGAAAGGTGACAGCAGTCAAATTGGCTTCTTTCAATTGGTAATAAAACTGTGCTGATTTATGACATAAATTTTGCAACTGTGAATTGTTCAGATCATGGAGGTGGTGTTAAATCTTTAGTTATATTTACAGGTTTTTAACTACAGTGATCACTTTTTTAGTCATAAACTTTGTCTGTAATAACATGCTGACTAGTAATTAGAAATATATTGCTGATTAAACACACAAATTCTACTTGATAGGTCAGAAAATTGTCCTGGAAAATAATCACTGAGCCTATAATTATTATTTTAGTAAGGAAAATCACCACTGTAATCATATCATGTATGTATATTCTTATTGCACGTCTTTAGAAATTCCATTGTATAGGTATTTTTTCCAATTTTGCTCAGGGTGGAGGCATTTCTAGGCACAAACAGGTATCTTCACTGTCAGTATCAGCTCTGGGAGCCAATTTATGCTATTGCTGAATGCCCCACATGGTGTATATGCATGGCAATGGCATCGGTGCCAGTGACTGTTTCCCCCTTAAGTTGTGGATGTATAGCTAAGACTAAAGCCAGCTTTTAAGATAAAGAGAATGAATTCAGAGACTAGGAAAGAAATAACATAGACTAATAATGTAAGAGTCTAATGTTTTAGGTAATTGATATAATGTTTATTTTGATACAACTAGTGAGAACTCTGTTGTTCAATTAAGATGATTCCCACAGAATTGGGTATTGAATACTATTTATCAGAATCTAGTAACTAAAATTAAATAGCCGTCCTGCCTCTCCTGCTTTTCACCCATAAATGATCTCTGAATCCTTTGTTTTTCAAGTTTCGATTTTCTTCGACGACTGACATTTGGCTGATGTCTGTGGGAAGTTTATGTGCATTTCTCCATGGACTAGCCCATCCAGGCGTGCTACTCATTTTTGGCACCATGACAGATGTTTTTATTGACTATGACACTGAATTACAAGAACTTCAGATTCCTGGAAAAGCATGTGTGAATAACACCATAGTGTGGACCAACAGCTCTCTCAACCAGAACATGACAAATGGACTGCGCTGTGGGTAGGCTGCTATTTTTTATTTTTTACTTTTTTTTGTTCATATCTTAAGTTATAATTCAAAACGTGTAAAAGGGGACTTCATTGATTGAGCTGGAATGGCCTCTAACAGAGTGAACAGAAACATAAGTTTACCCATATTTCTATAAATTGCTCTGCTCTGAGGTTCTTCCTATTCTACCAGGTTTTTAAATCCTAACAAAAAACAAAATTGGAAATTGCACATTAAATGCATCACCCAAATTTAACCACTTTCTAGACTATAGGCTTGAGGATGACACTACCAATAACTTAATGCCAATAGAAAGATGATCCGTGAATTTTGCTTGAGTCTTATGTCATGTCTCATGTCTAAGACTTCCTTATTCTTTTTTTTCCTAACTCTTCTGTTCCTTAGCTTCTGTGTCTGTGGCTGATGATCCGCTAGATTCCCAGCTTTCTCTCTATAAGGGAATTTTATGAGTGTGCTACCAGACTTGGAGTGGGGGCCGCTGTTAGTAGTTGAGTTTCTACAGAAGAGTGGTGAGGTGTCATAAGCAGAAGGAAGCTATGCTGAATTAGCCAGAGCTCACTGTGCTACTGTTCTCTTTGTGATAAGCTGTCCTGTAGTCACTGAGTCCATAGAGGGCGTGGGGTTGACTCACTGTCATGGCGTGGACTTTGCAGCCTGCCTCACTCTGCCTCAGGGCCAGAACAAGCTCATTGGCATGTATGAACCTCAGGTTTGAGAATCAAGGGCAGGACACATCCTGGCTAGAAAGATACTTGGAATGGTTCCCCTACATGGATTTATAATTTTTCACTTTCACTTATAAAAATTTCTACAGGTTTGATTCCAGATCATGAGCTAATCCTTTCAAATCACTGACACTTGCATAATATTACCTACTCTTAGACTCTTTCATTCATTCACTCATTCAACCAAAATTTTTGTTCACCAGCCATGTACCTTGTGTAAGTGTCAAGAATACAGTGGTTATCTTAAGAGTCATGTCTTTATCTTCAGAGAGATTAGGTCTAGTCAGCGAGACCATCATTAAACCAATGATCATTCAGGTAAATATGGTTGCAAACCAGTTAGTGCTTGACAGGAAAGTACAGGATAGCATAAATGTGCAGAGTTACCCTTTAAAAAATACTAAGCCTACTCATTAGAAATAAATTTCTTAATGTCTAAATATGTATGCTCTTTTCTAAGTTTGGGAATAGGACTGAGAACAGTTTATATAAAACAGAGACTCTTTTCAATGACAATCTTTTGAGTCTTTCATTTATGTTGGAGGCAGATATAAACTGCTTTTTAGAGTGATATAACTACAAAATATAAAGTTAATCTCTTCCCCATTTGAAAGAAAAATGCATTCAGACTTCTGTATGGTGTAAATTGATCCAAAAATATCAATGACACTCATGAAGATAAATTTTTTCAAGGGAAAATTCTTGAAAGTATAGCCTGTTATATCTTTTTAAAAAATTCTGTTGTCTTAAAATTTGGAAATAATGGTTAGAAGGGCAAAAATTTGAGACATATCCATGATATGATGTGCTCATAATCATTTATTAGATGAATTAAAGAATGAATCTACCTTTAATGTCTGTATCACTGCTTTCATTAGAAAGGAATTAACTGTGGCTACCTATTACTTGCACCTTTCTGGGTCATATACTTGAAGGTGAGCAAATAGTGCAAAGCAATTAGGGGCTTTCAGAAGTTCATCAACTTTGGCTGAATCCACATGGTACCAAGCATGTAAGTGGACATTTGCCCTTTTTTAAAAACCAATTTTGTACAATAATTGAAATTGTGTGACCACACCTTTCTTAGGCTATTTCTTTACCAGGAATTCCTTTGATGAGTTCAATGCTTTAATTGTGAATTAATCTGGTCATTGACATGAATACTGTTACACTCCTGAATTAATGTTTGTTTAGTTTTTATGTAGTAACATCACTGTGAAAATGGACTTGGGTGGGACAGAGAAGGGAGAGGACATTTTTCTACCTGTAAGTAGTTAATATGCCTCCAAAATTATCCAACTTTCTTTCTTGAAAAAAAATATATCAGTAAAAGTACAATTTCTCCACTCATTATGATAGGTGTATTCGTCTTAGACTGTGCAGGGCAACTCAATGATTTCAACATAAGCATGCATGTGTAGTGGTAAGAGCTGGTTTTTCTCTTTCATAATATTGGTTTCTACACACCAATTATAATCCATTGGGTGGAATTAATAAGCAAAAGTCTTTCAAATGGCTCTTAGTGAATAACACTGAAAAGGATTACAGAACATTTGGCCTCCTGATTAGCTGATCAGAATTTATTTGCTCAGAATAGTCAAACAATAAGGTAAAAGAATGAAAGAAGATGAAAGAAGAGGAAGTCCAAATATCACAATGTAATTTACTTTTATCTAATTAAAGTATAGAACTCAAATGGAAGCCACAGTCTGTGACATAATTGTGGAAGTAACATACCATCATTTCTACCATATTCTATTAGTTTGGGAGGGGACTACACAAAAGTATGAATACTAGGAGACAAGAATCATTAGGGGCTTCTTGGAGGCTGATTACCATAGCCATTGGGAAGCTCATTTTTTAACTTGCCCCACATATGAATGCATCAAGGTAGAAATCTGAGCCTGTACTTTCTCTTAGATTTCAATCTATTGGTATTTTCTTAGCAGTGTACATGTAGCTTATGCATTCAAGCACTCTTTTTTTGAAGTTAGGCACTTTAAGACCACATACTTTTAAAAACAGCTTTATTGAGATACAGTTCACATACCATATAATTCACCCCTTTAATGTGTACAGATCATCCATCACCACAATGAATTTTAGAACATTTTCGTTACCACAGAAAAGAAACACTATCTCCCTTAGCTATCACTCTCCAATTCTCCATCATCCTCAGCCCTAGACAACCACTAATCTATTATGTCACTGTAGAGTTGCCTATTCTGAATATTTCACGTAAATGGAGTCATACAATATGTTGTCCTTTTTGACTACCTTCTTTAACTTAGCATAACATTTTCAAGGCTCATCCATGTTGTATCATGATTAGTAATTCACTTCTTTTTTATTGCTGAATAATATTCGATTGTATGGATATAATACATTTTATTTATTCATTTATCAGTTGATGGACATTTGGACTGTTTCCATATTTTGGTTATTATAAGTGATGCTGCTATAATCATTTGTATATAAGGTTTTGTGTGGACGTATGTTTTTATTTCTCTTAAGTATATACCTAGGAGTGCAATTGCTGGGTCATATGGTAACTGTATGTTTAATCATTTGAGAAACTACCAGACTGTTTTTCAAAGGGATTGTACCATTTTACATTCTCTCTAACAGTGTATGGGAGACACAATATCTTCACATCCTAACCAACATTTGTTGTTATCTATATTTTGATTGTAGCTCTAGTAGGCTGAATAATGGCCTCCAAAGAGATCTAGGTCCTAATACTTGGAATCTGTATATATTACCATATGTGAAAAAAAAAGGGTCTATACAGATGTGATTAAGTTAAAGATTTTGGGATGAGGGAGATTATACTGAATTATCCAGGTGGGCCCTAAAAGTAATCACAAGTGTTCTTAAAAGGGACAGTTGCCAAAAGGGAGGCAGAGGGAGATTTAACTATAGACAGAAGAGGAGAGACAAAATGACTATAAAGGAGGAGATAGAAGCGATGTCACAAACCAAGGAATGTCAGCAGCTAACAGAAGCTGGAAGAGACAAGAAATAGATTCTGCCCTAGAGTTTTTAGAGGTAGCACAACCTTGTCTGCACCTTAATTTTGGTATAGTGAAGCTGATTTTAGACTTCTGGCCTCCAGAAATATAAGGAAATAAATTTCTCTTGTTTTGAGTCACCACAGTTTTGTGGTAACCACAGTTTTGTGGTAATTTGTTACAGCAGCCATAGGAAACTAATAAAATAGCCATTCTAGTGAGTGCAAAGCGGTATCTCATTTTGGTTTACATCTACATGTCTAATGGTGGTGGCTAATGGTGTCAGTATCTTTTTAGATGGTTATTGGCCATTTGTACCTTTTCTTTGAAGAAATATCTATTCATATCATTCGTTCATTTAAAAATTGGGTTATATGTCTTTTTATTATTGAGTTGTAAGTGTTCTTATATATTCTAGACATAAGTCCCTTATCAAATATATGGCTTGCAAAATTTTTTTCTCATTATTTGGTTGTCTTTTCACTCTCTTGATTTTTGAAGTGCTAAAGTTTTTAATTTTAATGTCCAGTTTATTTTTTGTTTTGTTGCTTGTGATTTTGGTGTCATATCTAAGAAACCATTGCCAAATCCAAGGTCATGAAAATTCATACCTATGTTTTATTTTAGATTTTTAAGAGTTTTGCTTTTATATTTAGGCCTAGGCTCTATTTTGAGTAAACTTTTGAATATGGTGTGAGGTAGAGATCTAACGTGACTTTCCACAGGAACAGACAGTTGTCCCAGCATCATTTGTTGAAAAGAGTATGCTTTCCCCATTGAATAGTCTCAGAACCCTTGTCAAAATCAATTTACCATAATGTGAGGGTTTATTTCTGGACCCTCAATTCTACTATTGTATATGTCTGTCTTTGTGCCAGTAAATACAGTTTTTATTACTGTAGTTTTATGGTAAGTTTTGAAATTAGAAAGTGAGTTTACTAACTTTGTTCTTTTTTTTTTTCAAGATTGTTTTGGGCATTCTGGGTCCGTTGGATTTTCATACGAATTTTTTTTTTTTTAAGATTTTATTGGGGAGTTGGGGGAGGGGAACAGCACTTGGGAATCCAGGAAGGGGAACAGACAAGCTGCTGTCCTTTTGTTCTTCAGTCTAGTTGTGGAGGACAACACTTCACTGGCCCATGTTGGTATTATCATTGTGCTCTTCCCGGGTGAAGCCGTCACTTGCCGACCACTGGAGGGCCTCTCACGGCGGCTCACGGCAGCTCACAAAAGCACTCGCCAGCTGCTGACCAGC